ATGACTAGTCTCTGCCGACAGTTCCACTGCAACCTCAAGAGAGACCCTGAGCCAGAACCACCCAGCTAAGCCACTCCCAGATTCCTGAGAAACTGAAAGATGATAACTGCTTTTTTTTTTCCCCACGCTGCTAAATTTTGGAGTAATTTGTTACACAACAATAGATAAGTAAAACACGGGAGTATCACAAAACTAACCTAATAAAAAGGAAGATAAAGAGCTAAGAATGATTAAGAGAAATGCTCTTAAAAAACTCACACACAAAAAATTCAAAAGCTCGGCTTAATTAAGAGTACAACATCACAAAAGCTGACTTTATATATCACATAACATCTCAATTTCAAAATAAAATCCAGCTCTACCACTGTCTTATTTTATAAGTTACCATATAATTTCTTGAATACTGTTATTATGAAGTAACATTTCCCAGTAGGTGCAGTTCCATGGAATACTTTTTCCTCAAGCTAGTTAAAAGTTGTTTTAGAAATATCGATTCCAGGGCGCCTGGGTGGCTCAGTCGTTGGGCGTCTGCCTTCGGCTCGGGTCATGATCCCAGGGTCCTGGGATCGAGTCCCACATCGGGCTCCCTGCTCTGTGGGAAGCCTGCTTCTCCCTTTCCCACTCCCCCTGCTTGTGTTCCCTCTCTGTGTCTCTCTCTGTCAAATAAATAAAATCAAAAAAAAAAAAAAAAAGAGAAATATCGATTCCAGGTTCAAATAAATTTGAGAAATATAGGATTAAGTTTTTAAAAGGTCTCTTTACACCAGGTGTTCCGAGAGCCTTTAATGTGCTAAACGACACTGTAATTCTCCCAAACACATCTACTCAAAGGAAACTTATTTGATCACAAAATTCATTTCCAGAGAACTTATAATACATCGGGTGTTCTATGGAACATATTTTGAAAAATGGAATAATGATATTTTTTATGTTTTTACCTAGCACAAGAAACTTTACTGTATAAAGCAAACCTCAATTGCTGGGTAAAAATCATAACCTGTACAAAAATGACACGAACAATATATATATCTAAATTTTGAAAACTTGACTTGAATTTACCCCCTCTGGTACTTGAAGTAGTTAAGCTTGATGAAAATTTTTTTTGATGAAATACTAACTTTTTAAAAGAAACTTAAGAAAACTAGAGGCAGTTAAATATCCTTCAAAGGTCCCTCAGAAAATACTCGAGATTTACATAAAAATTACATTCTATTCTTTTTAAACCCTTAAATTTAATCCATTTTAAAATAATAATATATACCTTTTGAAAGTAAAAATCAAATACTTTCAAAAGTTGGTGTTTAAGTGAAATTTTCTTAAGTCTTATGTCTAAATGATGTGTTGAAAACTGCTTAGAATTATTGAAGAACTATCACTATGACAGCAAAACAGTAAGGTGTGGTTAAGTAATACTACCACCACTACTCTTTGAATGGATGGCCAGTGGAAATTTCTCAAGCAGTATTAAGATTACAAACTTTGTGTTGAAATGACAAATATAAATTCTTTAAGTTTCAAACATGTATCTAGCATAATGATCATAAAAATATATTTAATTACTGTTATTTAATACAAATAAATACTTGTTGGGTTTTAAAAAATGTATCCAAGGAATCTAGAATGGTTCTCCACTGCCTATTAAGGCACTACACACGCATGGTATTCAAATTTGTTTTCTCAACCCTCCCAGTACAGCTTTAAACCATGTGTTTCTCTACTGACATCTAAAAAAAAAAAAAGTCCCATGGAAATACTCAACAGTGTACGTTGATAGCTCAGTAGTCAAAGCAAGTTTTGACCTCAAATACCCGCAGGCCAGAAATGGAGTCCAGTAATTTTTTAAACATTCCTTTCTCCTCCTAAGGAAATTTTAGCTGTTTTGGTTAGTTGTATTCTTAAATTACGTGCCTGAAGTTATATTCTCATGCCTCATTGCCTAAAGATAAGCTAACTTCGAGGAATCCCCACACTTGAGACCAAAAAAAAAAAAAAGTAGTCTTTTCTGGATGGCAAAGAACCCCAAAATTTATTTACCAACAAAAAAATTAAACCACAGAAAAATTAAGTCTTTTCACCAAATTTCTAATGCCACCACCAAAGTCTATGCCCCAATCATCTTGAACTTTGAAATCGTAATCAACTCCTATTTACCCTTATAAACCAAACAATTCTAATCTCCCCGATTTGATACCCTTGCTCAAGAATCTATGACTGCTATACACTTAACCATTAGATATGAAATCCAAAATCCCTTTCCTAGAATTCAAGACCCTCCCTCATCTGGGCATTTTCCCTTACTATCCTGTACTCTGATAGGGACAGTTTCCTTACTGTTCCCCAACCACTCAATCATAATTTACACTTTTGCCCATGCCATTCTAACCTCACCCCCTCCTCAACAGGGAATGCTGGCACTTTTCCTTTCCACCAACTCTCTCCTCAAGGATGAAAGTCCAATTCATTGTATTTCTTCCCTAAATCTTTTGCAGTTTACAGAAGGAAATCAGAATACTGAAGTGAGCCCCTATTCACTGCACCATTCAATGCAGAAGGAAGAAGCCAGATGTGGTCACTGGGCAAATGAAATGTCTAGTCCAAACTAAAATATAAATGTCTAAATGCACACCAAAGTTCAGAGTTGGCAACAGAAAAAGAATGTAAAATACAAAGATGTTTTATAATGATTACATGTTGAAATGCTAACACTTTAGAAATATTAAAACTAATTTCACCTGTTTAACTTTTTTTATAATGTGACTATTAAATAATTTAAAATATGTATGTGACTCCCATTTTATTTCTACTAGATAGCACTGCTCTCTAGTGTGAATAAACAATTCTACTGCCAGGAGATAAGATGCCCTAAGAACACCTTGAGTCACACTGCCTGTTTTTAAATCTTTCCCACATGGAAGACTGTGGACAAGTTAACATTTCTATGCCTCAATGTCCTCAAATTTAAAATGGTGATAAGTTAGCTACCTCATATTATTCAATGAGAACTAAAAGAGAAAGCTAAATACAGCAGGTATCAGGTATTAGTATTATTCTTTATTAACAAAGCAGGAAAGGGCATACACATCAAAGTCAAACAGATTCTCACATTTTTTTTAAAGACTTTAAGAATGTAGGGCACTTTGTTGTTCTTGTTGATTTAGTATAACACTGGAGGAGCTGAGACTGATGACTAAGGCACAAGCTGAAGAATCCCAAGAGTTCCCAAACTATTTTTGGACAGCTCCTGCTCTCCTTTAAATAATAAAGTGAACTTACGGAGCTATTCTCCCAAAGAATACACACCTGTGGCATGTAAATACATAAATTTATGGCACAGCGCTTTTTGTGGAGAAATCATCATAACCAAATAAACATCATAGTCGTTCGCTTGACACAGCCTTGTTATAGAACCCTTCATTTTATACAGCCCTTAACAAAGAACTTCACCTATACTTTTATGTTCTGTTCAGAAAGGCAGAAGTATCATTGGTTAAATACTCAGGAGTTTTACTCTGCTTATTTCTCCCTAATAAAGAACCTAAAGGTGGAGAAAACAGGTAGCTCTTAAATAAAAGACACATTTCTCCTGTTAATTAAACTTTTATCTGAAAAGCTAAATTTTAGGACTTTTCCATTCCTATAAATCTATTCAACTCCAACAATCTAGATTAATTACAACTTGTCCTTACTTCCTCGTCCATCAAGCAAAATGCTATTACAAGTTATTATTTTCATAACATTTTTGGGGGAAGACGTTAAATGTTATATACCTACTAAAATGTTTATATTTTCAAAGAAAATACATGAAATAACTAAACAGAAGCTTAGAAAGAGACAGACCCCATTACCCGAAGAATGTAATATTCAAGACAACTTTGAAAGTCCAGTTTAACACCCAGAGGAAGATGATTCGTCTTCTTTACTAAGACATCGGTTTAAGAGGCAGCATCTTCCTACCCTTACCCGCCTTGCAACTCTCTAATTCCCTCCCTATGGCCGTTGAAAACCGTCTCAACGCCCTTCTCTGGGGTTCATGTTTTTCTTTCCTCTAATTACCGAGCAGCTCGGCTTGTCCCGGGAAGAAGGAAAGTGCCCAGAAAAACTAGAGGTTAGGACCGCGCTGTCTTGACAACCTCACTCATGGCCCCTCCCCCAGCCGCCGCCGGAGACACCGCGGGGCCCTAGCCCCAGACGCCACTCTACCGGCTCCAAGATGTAAACATCGCCCTTTTCTTCCCTGCCCGCTCCCAACTTCCTTCTCCCGGCCCGGCTTTGAGGGAGCACAGTGAAAAAGGGAGGAGACCACATACCCTCCGAAGTGAGGCGAGAGAAGGGCTTAAGCAACTCCGCGAAGCTAAGGTGATTGAGACGAGTGAGCCGCTCGGCTTCGTCGCTGCACAGAGCGGCGACACAGGGGACGAAGGAGTCCGGGATTAGCTCCTGCACTGATTGTACACACTGGGCCATCGCCGCGGCACAAGCAGCGGCGGCGCCCGCCCTCCGGCCCACTCTCAGAGGCTGATCCTGCGGCTGCAGCAGCTACTGCCGCCGCCCGCCGGCCTAGCCCGGCCGGGCGGGGCCCCGCACTGAAGCCTTGAGACCAATAGAAGGAACAGACGCCGCTGCCTCGGCTCCCGGGCACACAACACCGACCCCTCCCCGGCACCGCCGCTCCTCAGGGCTCGCCCCGGCGTCCTCGCATTCCACCCCGATAGGTGGAGACGCCGACAATCGCCAGTTAATCCTCCCGACGGCAAAACCTTGGTCACTGCCCGACCGGAACCGCCATATTGAGGCCGAACCCTGACCCACCGGCAGTACCCGTCCCGGCAGGCCCCGCGCTCGCCCTTCACGTGACGGTATTAAAGGAGTCGATGGGGGCGGGGGGAAAGAGCCGAGGAGAGGGAAGTGAAGAGCGACGGAGGTCGGTGGGAAGGCTGGCGCCGGAAATGGTGGGGTGGGTGGGCCCCTACGGGGAGGGGCGGGGCTACCAACGCGGTGGGCGGAGCCAAAACAGGAGTCGCGCGACTTTAGGCCTGGTTTTCAGGCGGGCCATTGGCAAAACCAAGAGAGCTGCTGGGGGGCGAGCGCACAGGTCAACGTTCGAGATCCGTCTGTCACAGTGGTGGGGGTGCTCGCTCGCCTTCCACGCTAGCCGGGTCTGTTTGGAGCCCCCTAGAAACAATAGGCAAATAATGTGGCTTTCGCTCTGCTTCCCGAGCTCCCGGTAGAACGGCAAGGGGCACCTGCTCACGGAAGAGTGGTTCCCGTGGCGCCGGCCTGAACAGACCTGGTATCACTTGAACACAACCATGCTTTTAGAAGCGGACTACCACGAACGAACGTGGACGCAACCAGTGAACAGAAATGTGTGTGCTGCCATTAACGCGAGTGTAACGGAAAACTCGCGCTACTGCGTTTTTGTTGGTCGCAGGGAAAGAGTATGCTTGCAAACGTCTGAGTCTTTCGTCCGCAGCCGCGTCCTTTATTTCACTATGCCGGGAGGTTTTCTTCGTAGCCATAGAGGTGAGAAGCCAGTAATTGTTTACCAAATGGAGTCCTAAACTGGCTTCCGTTCTTAGCATTCCTTTTTATAGATTGTTCTTTACGTAAGTAGAAGTGAATGAAAGGGATTCTACCATCGTGTCACGGAATTGCTTGAATCCCTTCTGAATTGTTTGCCAAAAATATAAAGCAAGGAAAAATACAACGCTCTATCGCGATTTTATGGTACCCTGGCTTTCCCAACACGTGTATTTCAAATTGTCGGATTGTTTGGCGCCTTGAGGTTTTTACCGTAATAAGAATTTATAACAAGCAAGAGGTATACCTTCCTCTTGTAAATAGTGAGATGGGAGGTAAGAAAGGACAAAAGGACATAATGTCTTGACAGCTAAGCCACAAATCAGTTTAGAAAAGATAACGTGCAAGTTGAGGATCTGGAAATTCATTTTAAAACTATTTGTGCCTGAGCACCTCTTGGAAATTCTTCTTGTATCCCCAGGAGCACGCATATCCTTTTGAATACCTCAGATCTCAATCCCTTATGTGAGAATCCCATACAAGTGAGTATGACTCAAGTTATATATATATATTACATATATTTTTTTTCCTTTGGTTAAGAGGACTCCTCAGTGCAAGCATACTATATTTAGCACTCAGCTCAAAGTAAGAATTAAAAAGGCAACATATTTTTTACACTAAAGTTAAAACTAGTTGTATTAGGCTCTCTGAGAAAGGACTTTGAAGAGTAATTTAGCCTGAATGAATTTTTTGAGATAGTTATATTCCATAAAATTCACCCCTTTAAAGTGTACATTTCAGTGGCTTCTAGTATATTTGAAGTGGCACAACCATTGCTTCTATCTAATTCCAGGACATTGTCATCACCCTAAAAAGAAGCTTGGTACTCATTAGCAGTCCCTGTCTACCCCTCACCCCTTTCAGCCCAGGGCAATCACTAATCTACTTTCTGTCTTTATAGATTTATTTATTCTGAACATTACATATAAATGGAATCATACAATATGTCACTTTTTGTGTCTGACCTCCTTCACTTAGTATAATGCTTTCAAGGTTCGTTCATGTGTCAGTATTTCATTCCTTTTTATGGCTGACCCGAAATGGATTTTTGTCTTATGCATTGACTTTACAGTCTAACACCACATTCACACATAGTGTTTCCAGTAAGTAACTCACTGTAAAAAACTATTTCTTCCCATTCTCTCCTCATCTTCTAAGGTGTTCATCTTCTAAAGTGTTGTCCTCATCTAAAGTTTAATGCTGAGTCACTGCCACATCTGCTTTCCAGGCTGCAGGATGGAGAAAAGAGAATGGAAAAGCACATGATTAATGGTTTAGGATCAAATTGTATTAGTGGCATTCAAAAATTTCACTCACATTCCACTGGCCTCAGTGAGTCTCAGGATCACACATATCTCCAACAGAGACTGCAAAACATAGGCTTCTCTTGTTAAATGAAGAGGAGGAGAGGGAATATTTAAAAAGTCAAGGGTGGGGCACCTGGGTGGCTCAGTCGTTAAGCGTCTGCCTTCGGCTCAGGTCACGGTCCCGGAGTCCTGGGATGGAGCCCCACATTGGGCTCCCTGCTCAGCGGGAAGCCTGCTTCTCCCTCTCCCACTCCCCCAGCTTGTGTTCCATCTCTCACTGTGTCTCTCTGTCAAATAAATAAATAAAATATTTAAGTAAATAAATAGATAGATAAATAAATAAAAAGTCCAAGGGTGTCCACCACACTCTATTAGGAATGAGGTATCCTGCGGAATGTATTTGTATGGGGTCCATGATACCACACATCTCTCGTTTCTCTGATTCCTCTGGACACTGGCCCTTTTTTATCACATGTCCTCTGGACTATTCACTGTGTCCAGGAAAAATTAGATGGCTATGATTGTCCAGGCTTTGGCCATGTGCCCACCCTTGAAGTCAAGAGGATAGGGTCTATCACTAAAAGAGAGGCAACTTGTTGGACAAAATAGTAACAACACAAACAACTAAGGACCTCTTTTCCAGTATTAAATATGAGAACCAGCTTCCTTCTCTCCCCAAAATAAAAGAATGCTGTAAAACCTGCTAAGCCAATGGGCTTATATTTATATCCTGTGTTATCAGACATTCATTGATTGTTTTATTTTGTGTGTATGGTATTGCCATTCTCTTCTGATGGCTGGTAAAGTCAAGTTTAAAGAACACAGACGCTGAAGTCATAGAGGGGGTTCAAAAGTAGTACTACCACTTGTGAATAGAGATAATATCACCTTTATTGGTCACTATCTACCAAGCACAATGCTTGATGTTCTCTACTACTTCTGCTTCTGACACAAACCCTGAGAAGTACATGCATTGCCAATTTTCAGATGTAGAAACTGAAGCACAGATCAGTTAATTAATTTGCCCAAAGATAATCAGCACTGGAGCCAGGAACAAAACCAGCACAGTTTAACCCTAGAGACTTGATCACTAGGATAAATTGCTTTTCCATGTTTCCTTCCTTTGAAATCACCTCCACAAGTTTTAGTTTGCAACAGCATACATAGTTTTAGCAAGAAATCTGTGGCTTTTGACAAGTCCCTTATCTTTTCTGAGCCTCACATTCTTTATCTGTAAGCTTAGAAAGTTGGGGCTAGAAGATATCTTGTATTTGTTTCAATGTGAAGATCTGAGAATCTTTCCACTATTATTAAATTTCACTGTGTCAGCAATAGATGGTGCTATTGAGTATTGGCTTTAAAACCCGGTAAAAACCACTCTTAATTACTGAGTGCATAGTCATCACATAGGTAATACCTACCTGTATATCAGAGCTTTAGAGGTCAGGGGATGCCAAGCATATTTATACATTAAAAGTTTTTTAAGCTCAAAGATTTTACATTATGTTACTTTAAAACCCTAGGGGGGAAAACGACTTAAATATATAATCCATATATTGGCCCACATTTTTTATTTTATTTACTGCACTGGATGTTTTAAGATTATTTATTAACGTTCTAAAATTAACATGACACCCATTTCCTGATTATTTTAAAGATGAATCATAACTGCAGTGTTGTACTCCAAAGCCCATAATTCTATTTTTATACTTAGAGGTTTTTAAGCTCCATATGAGTCTTCTCTAATTAAATCTGCAGGTAAAAATCTTTTATAAATATTTTTCTCCCTTATGCTTCTAAAATAAGGGATAATATTAATGTTTGCTTTTTTTTTACTATTTGCTTTTAAATGAGATATTAATACTTCCAAAAACTGGGTAAAAATGTAGCAAAAATCCATATTATACTCAATGGTGAAATATAAGAATCATTTACTTTAAAGTCAGGATAAAACAAAGATGTCCATTATCACTGTTTCTATTCAATACTTCTCTAGCTTTCTATAAGAGCAGCTAAAGAAGAAAAAAATAAGCAAAATTTAGAGAATTTCAAAAGGAAGAAACAAGGGGCCCCTGGGTGGTGCAATCAGTTAAGCTTCCAACTCTTGGTTTTGGCTCAGGTCATGATCTCAGAGTCGAGATTGAGCCCTATGTTGGGCCCCAAGCTCAGTGAGGAGTCTGCTAAAATTTCTCTCTCCCTCTCCCTCTGCCCTTCCCTGTACTAGCTTGCTCTGTCTCTCTAAAATAAATAAGTAAATCTTAAAACAAAAACAAAAGAAACAAAATTTTGCTCATTTTAGGGGTGCTTGGGTGGCTTAGTTAAGTGTCTCGCTTTTGCTCAGGTCATGATTCCAGGGTCCTGGGATCAAGCCCTGTGTCATTGGACTCACTGCTCAGGGGGTGTCTGCTTCTCCCTCTCCCTCTCCCTCTCCCTCTCCCCCTCCCCCTGCTTGTGCTCCACCCCCTCTCAAATAAATGAATAAAATGTTTTTTTAAAAAGTATGCTCATTTGGGAATGATATAGTGAACTAGATATATATAGGTACCTTCATCATATATATGTGGCTATTCATCTCTTCATTTGCTTTCCCAGAAGTAGAAGGCAGAACTCATATTTTTAGCTCTTAGACTTAAGGCATCATCATTTGACTTGGTTTTGGTCAGCTAGACATATACTTGCAAGAATTCTATCTGAAAGTGTATTGTGTGAGAAAACATGTTTTTGAAGAACTTTAATTTATGCTCTCATTGGTAGTGGCAGAGGCACCATAAAGATGTCAATTCTACCAAAATTAATCTATAGGTTCAATGCAATTTCAATCAGAATACCCACAGAGATTTTATGGAATTTGACAAACTAATCCTAAAATCCGTATTTAACAGCAAAGGTCTAAGAATAGTTAGATAATTTTGAAGGCAAATACCAAGGGATTTATTCTACCAGCAAGCCAGACATACTAAGGTTATAACACAGTTATTAAAAGACAGGCATAGTTGAGTAGGCCAATGGAATAGAATAGAGAGCTGCAAGATAGACCAACTTGAAACATGAACAAAGCAATGCAGAAAGGATAAATTATTCGAAAAACGGTGCTTTAATAATTGGTTATCTCTGGAACAAAAACCCAATTCATTCAAAAAATCAGATCAGGTAGAGAAAAGATGCAAATAATAATAGCAAACCTTACTTGATGTTTATTACATGCCTGCTATAGTTTTAAGCATTTTACATATGCCAACTCTTCTTCCTTCTAACAGCCCTATGTAGTAGACATGGTTAATATCATCCATTTTATAAATGAGGAAACTGAGGCAAAAGAGGTTAGTTAAATTGTCTCGGAGCTGTGATTTGAACTTAGGTAATCTGCCTCTTGAATCTGTTTTAATATGCTGTACACTGAAACGCTATACGGCACATCTTTTTTTTTTTTAAGATTTTATTTGTTTAATTAGAGAGCAGGCGGAAGGGCAGAGGGAAAGGAAGAGAGAGAATCTCAAGCAAACTCCATGCCAAGCATGGAGCCCCATGCAGGGCTCTATCTCACGACCCCAAGATCATGACCTGAGCCAAACTCAAGAGTTGAATGCTTAAGCGACAGAGTCACCCAAGCACCCCTGGGAAGGGCAGATTTCTAAAACAAGATTCCAAAAGTGGATATCCTAACAGAAAAGATTGATAATTGAATTTAAGAACTTCTTTTCGGGGCGCCTGGGTGGCTCAGTCGTTAAGCGTCTGCCTTCGGCTCAGGTCATGATCCCAGGGTCCTGGGATCGAGTCCTACGTCGGGCTCCCTGCTCGGCGGGAGGCCTGCTTCTCCCTCTCCCACTCCCCCTGCTTGTGTTCCCTCTCTGTGTCTCTCTCTGTCAAATAAATAAATAAAATCTTTAAAAAAATAAAAATTAAAAAAGAACTTCTTTTCATCAAAAGACCACAAAGATAGCAAAAATACAAGCTACAAATGTGAAAAGATACATATTTACACTAAAGAACTATGATTAATAAGAAAAAAAGGAAACAATACAATGGAAAAATAGACAAGTGACAGAAAGTCATTTCACAAAAGAGGAAGCTTGAACTGTCAATAAACATTTAAATATTCTCAAAGTTAAAAAAAATGGGCAAAGGATATGAATAGATGGTTCTCCAAAGAAAGATAATAAATAGGCAATAAGCAC